CTCCCCGGCCGCTGCCCGCCCGCTGTCCGTGTCCCCGCACCGGCCCCCGCGCCCGCTGTGCCGCCCCTGCCTGTCCACCAACCAGGGCCGCCCAGTCTGCCGGTGGCCAGTGGCCGCGGCCGTCGCCGCTTCCCGCAGGCGCTCATCGTGGGCGTGAAGAAGGGCGGCACTCGAGCTCTGCTGGAGTTCCTGCGGTTGCACCCTGACGTGCGCGCGCTTGGCTCCGAGTCCCACTTCTTCGACAGGTGCTACGAGCGAGGCCTCGCCTGGTACCGGTGAGCGTCCGGCCTGAGGACCCATGTTGCCGCCCTCAAGCCTCCCTAAATTGTGCGCCCCGGTGCCTAGATGCCAGTGCGCCAGGCCTGGGGTATTGGGCTTCGGAGTCCAACTAGTCTGGGTCGGGGCGCGGGCTGTTCCCAGCGGGAAGATCCCTTAAACTTTGAAAACTCTGGAAAAGTTTAGGTTCAGGGCCGCTGCAGGGTTCTCAACAGACTCGAATAGGGGGCTCGGAGTGACTCTGGAGTACCCGACATGGGGAAAAGTGGTGGGTGGAGAGCGGGCGTGCGCTCGATAACTCTCATTGCTGGTCTGCTCTGGCTGGGGCGCATGGGACAGGCCCCAGGAGACTTTCGCGGGGTTCCAGGGAGGCAACAGGAAGTCTGGCCTTTAGAAAGGAAGAAGCTTCCTTTGAGGCTGTTCCAGGGTGAGAATGGGACTCAAGACTCATGCCTTGGGGCTCTGAGGCCGCTCTGTCCCTCACTCAGAGCAGCCTTGGAATGTGGGGTGCTTGAGTCCCAGCCAAGCCCCTCGCTGTGGAGGTTGGCACGAAAGCGCTGAGCGGAAGGCCCTTCCCTTGTCCCCTCCTGACAGGAATGAGGGTTTGCAGATGGAGGATGTGAATCCCCTACCCCAGGAGACCCCCTCTCACCAGAGGACACTGTGCCTAGGGCCTCCTGGTGAATTAGGAGGGTGCCCCAGCTCCCTGTTCTCACATCTTGCACTCCCTTTGTGCCCATTCATATCTTCACCTTTTTTCATTAGAAGCACTCCTTGATTTAGAAGCGTGCACGGGTTTCTGGCTCTAGAAGAGTTGTTGCTACCCTAGGGGTGTCAAGGAAGTTGGGAGGGGGTGATGAGCCCATTCTGACTGAATTTGGGTGTCCTTTGAGCTCAGGTCCCAGTGAGAGACTGTAGTCCCACCCCTCAAGCCAGCAGGCATTCTGGAAGCATCACTAATCCCGGAAAAGGAGGGTAACTGTGGATGCACCATCAAGGGCAGAGCCGCCTTGGTGCCTGGAGCTCTGGTTGCAGAAGCTGAGCTGAGAGGGCAGAAGCTGAGTCTCGAGGACTGCTCTGCCTAGGCCCTTCAGTTGCCTGCACAGCCCTGGGAGAGGGGCCTAGCCAAGCCAGGGTTCAGATCCTGAGCCCAGGGGCTTGGTTTCTTGGGGAGGTGGAGGAGAATGTAGAGAAGAATCTAGAGTCCACCTCCATTGAGGAACACTGAGGATGAAAGAGGGTGTCTCATGGCTGGGCTTTGTCTCCCAGGTAACCATACACATGTGAGTACCTTGTACCCCAGTTTCCTCAGCTGCATGGAGGGCAACCCACTGTAGGTAGGATCTGGTGTTGCTTGTTTTCCAGGGAAGCACCTTCACCACAGTGGGAAGCCTCTGGATTCAGGGTTAGGGGAGATGTGTAGAGGAGGAAAAACCCAAGTGCTCCAGCTGAATCTCTGGGTCACTGGCTCCCCATGGGGACCCAGTGACCTCTTTCCAGGCTGTGTCCTTGGCTTGTGACCTTAAGCTGCTCAGAGCAGACTCCTGCTAAAACCTCTTCTGGTTTGCCTATCTCTGTTGGATCTATTTTGGGTACTGTGCCCGTCCCCAGCCCCTCAAACTCAGATACCATTTGCTCTTCACTAACAGCCCCACTCACATGTCAGGTTTGGGTTTACAAAATCCCCAAGGTCTCAGTCTGGGTGGGGCACATGCTTGGACCTCTGAGGACAGAATATGGGAGAGGCAGAGGACCTCTGGGGGAGAAGAGCAATGAATGCAGGGAATAGGGGCCTCGGTTTGTTGGGAAGATGCACCTGGTGGCTGGGTACCAGATGGCCCCTAAGTCTTTTCTGAGCGAACATTGCCCTGTACTGGTTTCTAGGCCATAGCTGGAGCACCAGCCCAGGCGATGTCTAGGACTGGGAAGGGGAGTCAGTGGGGGCAGGAGAGACGCCCAGGGCTGCGGAAACCGCAGGGAAATGCCAACCAGATGGTGCAGGCGCAGCGGGAGGGTCTGTCAGATGTTTGCTGTGTGGGGGTCAGAGTCTGGGGCCTCCACCCCTGGATTCCCCCTCAAAGCCTTTCTCGACTCTACTACCACTGAACTCTTTGTGGTGGGAGAGGGCCCAACCCCTTCCACAGCAGCGGGTTCCCAGCACCCCTGCTGCTGCTCTGTGGACCTCCTGACTTTCTTGGATTGGGTCCATCTGTGAGGTGCTGACCTCAGGTGCCTAGTTGTCCCTTTCACTCTCCACATGCTTCTTGAAGTTGTGTCCGGGCCAAGAGGCCAGGGGGACTTGGTCAGTTTGAGAAAGAGAAGAGGGGGTTCCTGAGGCCACTTGGCACCTGGAAAGGGGTGTGTCCCAGTGGGAAGAGAGGGACCACTGAGAGCAATTAGGGTTCCAGGAGGAGGAAAGATCAAAGTGTGGTGAGCATCAGCCTGTCCCCTGAACTTCTTCTCTTTGTTGGTCTCCAGTGTGGACAGGAGTACCAGGACTGGCCACTCAGGCCGCAGTCCGCTTGAGCCCCTGGCCTGGGGCTGTGGATCCCTGATGTGTGCCTGGGGAAGCCGGGTACTTAGTTTTCCTGCTGCAGATGGCAGAGTGTGGACTGTGGGCACCTGATTGGGCTCCAGGGGCAGGTGCCAACAGGTGGGCTAGAGGCAGGAGCGGGCTTCCAGTCCCCATCGCCCTTCCCTCTTGGACAAGATGCTCTCCCCAAACCTCCCTCTCCGATCCTCAGTGTGTATCTGCCTGTCCAATGGGGATGTGAGTGTGTGGTGGGAGTTTCAGATTGTTCCCCCTAGTCATTTGGAGAGGTAGGAGGGGGTCTCTGAAAGCTCCCAGCCCATGCTGCCTGCCTCGTCTGTAGAGCCCTTGGGTGGGTGTCAGAGAACTGGCTACATGTCCAGTGGTCTAGCCCTCTGCCATGTGATCTGTGTTCCTGGCCTATCTGGGGGCTCCTGGGGGTCTGATTGAGCACTTTGGTGGATGGAGCCTGTATTATGCCTCATCCTGTGAGCTGCAGCCAGACCTGGGGCCAAGGGACCAGGTGGGGCTGGGCAGAGTGCCCCTCCCTGTCACAGGTCGCAGCAGCCTCTGTGTCTCTTGACCTAGTTCCCATCCCTCTCTGAGCGCTGTTTGCACAGTTGGCGTGCCCGCCCCACCTTGCTTGCCTCACCTGCACCTGTCTGGGAGGTGCTGCCTTGGGCCAGGGTACAGGATGCCTGGGCCTGCCTAGTCTGGACACTATGAATGAGACTTGGCTCCCCTTTTCCAGGTTGAGGGGCCAGGGGATTAAGGGGGTCCCTGAATCTCCGATTTGAATCAGTGCCCTGGCCCATTTTTGGAATTGAGATTCGGGTACTGGTGTAAACTAGCTCTTTTAGAATGTTCCGGACTCTTGTTGGTGGCACGCTGAGTCTGGGTCCATGCTATTGAGGGTTTAAAAAACCCCAAACCAATTAAACTGTTAAGTCAATTCTAACTCACAGAAACTCTGCAGGACGGGGCAGGACCATCCTCTAGGGCTTACTAAGGTGACAGATCTTTATGGAAGCAAACTATTTGTCTCCTGTGGAACTGCTGGTGGGTTTGAACCTCCTAGTCTAACCACTGTGCCACCAGGACTTCTCAGGGTGGGTTGGTAGGATTGTCCTTAAAGGCAACAGAAGAGGGCTGCCCTCTTGGGGGACTCATGACCTAATTTCAGGGATGCTTTCAGCCACGTAGTGAGGAGTCACCAAGGGTGATGTGTGGCGAGACGTGGGTGGTGCCTGTGGGTGGCAAGCTCAGACTGGCCTTCTGGAAACGGGGGACAAGGGTCAGTGTGGTGCCAGCTCAGGTCTGGGTGCAGTCTAGGTGCAGAGGGTCTGGTGGGAAGGGCTGTTGGCACTCAGGGGAGCTGGCCTTTCGGGTGGAAGGGTGGCAGAGAGTCTTTGGGATGAGAATTGACCAGATGAAAGGGATCATGGGGGCCCAGGGGAACATCATCTTCGTGTCCCTGAGGCAGGAATGAACAGGGAGGTCCTGATGGGCTGGACCCCACCGTGGCCTGCTTATGTGCGTCAGTGACTCTGTGTTTTCAAGGGATGATTTTTGGGAAATGGACTGCCAGGCCTTTCTTCTGAGGCACCTTGGGGTGGATTAAAACCCTAGCCTTTGGGTCAGCATCAGAGTGCATTTGCACTGTCTGGGGAAAGAGGGGACTAGTCTTGGGTCTTGGGGTCCCTTCTGGGACTGGAGAGTCTTGGAGAAGGGCCACTTACTCACACCACTTCTTTTCCTCCTTCCTGCAGGAGCCTGATGCCCCGGACGCTGGATGGACAGATCACTATGGAGAAGACGCCCAGCTATTTTGTGACACATGAGGTACCTCGTCGTATCCATGGCATGTCCCCCGACACGAAGCTGATCGTGGTGGTGCGAAACCCTGTGACACGGGCCATCTCTGACTACGCGCAGACACTGTCCAAGACACCGGGGCTGCCCAGCTTCCGTACCCTGGCCTTCCGCCACGGCCTGCGGCATGTGGACGTGGCCTGGAGTGCTGTGCGGATTGGCCTCTACGCGCAGCACCTGGCCCGCTGGCTGCGCTATTTCCCACTGTCACATTTCCTGTTCGTAAGCGGGGAGCGCCTGGTCAGCGACCCGGCCGGTGAGGTGGGCCGCGTGCAGGACTTCCTGGGCCTCAAGCGGGTGGTGACAGACAAACACTTTTACTTCAATGCCACCAAGGGCTTCCCATGCCTCAAGAAGGCCCAAGGGGGCAGTGGACCCCGCTGCTTGGGCAAGTCCAAGGGCCGACCTCATCCCAGAGTACCCGATACAGTGGTCCAGCGACTGCGAGACTTCTACCGGCCTTTCAACCTCAAGTTCTACCAGATGACTGGCCAGGACTTTGGCTGGGACTGACTGGCCCTCTGGCTGGTCTGGGGACTCTTGAGAACCTTAAGTTATGACTGCACACTGGCCAGAGCTGGCTGGGCCTGTGTGCTGGGTGCAGAGAAGTATTGAAGGGATAAAAGTTACTTTGGTATTCCTCCCTGTGACCTGGGGGGCTGGCTAGAGGGCTGGGCGTATCCTGATCTGGGGAGTAATCATGTCAGCCAGTCAACTTCATGGGGCTGTCATTTCAAGGTGCTGTTCAAATTCTACCCCACATACCGTATTTTACCACCTAGTGCCCTCTGGCTGTCCCGACAGTGATCCCTGGGCTGCCTTTTACCACGCCCTTTGGTGGCCTTGATGTTCACAAGTTTCTATGTTTGAGCCTCTCTGAGTGTCTTCCTGCCCTTGTCTGGGACAGATGACTATAGAGTCTCAGAGGGTCAGTCAATCACTGTCCCTGTTTTTGGCTGCTTGCAGTGGTCAGCTGTGGCCACTGTCTGGTGGCACGGTTGGTGTGATGAAAAGAGGCTCAGGAGGTGTGTGTGTTTGTATCAGTTTCTTGCAACCTGAGACCACTCTCCTTAGCACCTATAGTATCTGAGTCCAGGTGGTGCAGATCTGGGGTTAGTCAGAGAGGCTGGCACTGTTGCTAGATCCCACCCACCCAAGCCATCCCAGGCCACACTAGACAGGGTAAGGCTGGGGCTCTCCAGAGCTTCTCTCTCAGCACCCCACCCTCTCTAGCCATTCCAGGTCATGCTAGACCAAGGTAAGGCTGGGGCTCTCCAGAGCTTCTCTCTCAGCACCCCACCCTCTCTAGCCATTCCAGGTCATGCTAGACCAAGGTAAGGCTGGGGCTCTCCAGCACTCCTCTCTCAGTATGCCTGGGACTTCAGCTGTAAGGTAATGGGCAAGGATGAGGGTAAGTGCATCCACCACTTCCCAGACTCCTTTGACAGGAAGGTAAAGGGTCTGGCTGTTAGCAGGCACAGTGGAGCAGGCCAGGTGGGGGCAGGACAGATTCCATGCTGACTGTCCACTGTGCCTCTGGCTCAGGGATGGTGGCTGGCCAGCTGCAAGGTCTTGGCACAGAGGGCAAACATGTCCCTGTTCCTGGCAACCTGTTGTGGATGGTGATGGTGTGGGGAGGGGTAGAACAGCCCCCTGTCCCTTGGTTGAGTCTCCAGTCCTGGCCACATGTGTTTCTCCTTCTCTGGGTTCTGGCCCTGCCCTTGTCTAAATTTCTACCCCTTTGAGCCCAGATAGCTGCAGCAGTCTGCTTACTCTCCCAGAACCTCTTGGGTCCCTGCACACCAGCCATAGGATGGCATCGTATCAACTGGATCTCATTATTTTGAAATTATTTCAGCTTCTGCTCTGAGCATCATTGCATTCAGGATGAAGACCAGAGGTTCCAGGTCTTCTGAGTCTTGTCCTCCTCCTTGTGAGCTTCCCACACCCTGATTTTCTAGCCACATTAGCTCTAGCTCAGCTCTCTTCACTAGCTAGAGTCTCTCCAACCTCAGGGCCTTTGCACGTGCTGGTATCTCTGCTTGGAATGTCTTTCAAGGCAGAAGGTTTGGGCTCTGGTAGAAGTACTCTCACTTGGGATCATCCTAATTCTCATCTTTAGTGTATTACTTTTAGGTGTCTAATGAAAAGGTTCTTGGTTCAAATCCACCAGCTAGATAGATAGTCTCCTCCCGTAAAGATTTACAGCCTCAGAAAACCACTAGAGAGTCACTGAGAGTTGGAATGGTCTCAAAGGCAGTGGTTTATCTTCCAAAAATTCAGAGTCCTTTTACTGAGCCTGAGGGCATGAGTCATTTTACCGTTCCTTGGTGCAGATCTGGGGTAGGTGGGCTCTGTCTGTCTGGAAGGAGAATGGGTGACCAGACAGGTTCTTCCACCAGTGGACTCAGCTTGACCAGCAGCACCCCATGAGGTGCCCAGCTGCACCTGAAAACGCACCTCCAGCAGATGTGGTTGGTGCTGAGCATTCAGGGGTAGAGCTCTGCATGAGAGTCATCGGCCTTTAATTAAAATCCCTCAATTGCTTCCCCAGCTGCTTCATAGATTTTCCATATAGGAATCAATGTTCCAGATGGGAGAGATGTGCTTGGTCAATTATGCCCTCCTGTTCCACTCAGTGGGGAGAGGCTGGGACCTCTTCTTCATGGATCCAGACCCAACTAGCTCAGAGGAGGGTGGTGGGGACATGAGGTGAGGGTCTTCATAACCCTGGAGGTCCAGGGAGGAGCTTGAGAAGCAAAGGAACAAACGCCCACCTGGGAGGGGGAGAAGGAGGGGAAAAGGAGGCTGTTTTCACCCGGAAGGAGGAGGAGGTGGGAGGAAAGGAGAAGGAAGGAGAGGAGGAGGAGGAAGGAGAAGAGGAAGAGGAAGGATATGAGGAAGAGGAGGGAGAGGAAGAAGAAGAGGAGGAAGGAGGAGAAAAGAGAGGAGGAAGAGGGAGAAGAGGAAGGAGGGGAGGAGGGAGAGGAGGAAAAGGAAGGAGGGGAGGAGGGAGTGGAGGAGGGAGAGGAGGAAGGAGAGGATAAGGAAGGGGAGGAGGAGGAAAGAGAGGAGGACAAAGGAGAGGAAGAGGAAGGTGAGGAGGAGGAAGAGGGAGGAGAGGAGGAGGAAAGAGAGGAGGAAGGGGAGGGGGAGTCTGCTTCCACGTGAAGGCTGTGAGGACAGGGGTTCCTGGGATCCTGAAACTGTTTCCAGCACATTAAACCTGGAGAGAAGGGCCGTGGTGGCACAGTGGATTAAGCACTGGGTGAGCAGTTAGAATCCCTCAGCTGTTCTTTGTGAGAAAGAGGAAGCCATCCTCTCTGTAAAGATTCATAGCCTTGGAAACACTATGAAGTCCTTCTACTCTGTCCTAGAGAGTTTCTGTGAGTCAAAATAGTTTGGGTTTTGGTGTTTCAGGAGCTCTGGTGATAACATCATGATGTTGTTGTTGTTGTTGTTATGTGCTGTCGAGTCGTTTTCGACTCATAGCGACCCTATGCACAACAGCCCTAAACCCTGCTCTATCCTGTGCCAATCGCATTGCCTCTGACACACCCATCCCGATTACCCCAGT